CTCTTTTAATTGAAAGTTGTGAAGTTAGATACTCTACCATACAAAGTGTAATTTCTAATTTAAAACAGCAATTAGTTTTACCACACTGACTAGTTTGGGATATTTCTCCTTGAAGTAACATCATTTTACACAGATTTTTTTTAAAGTTTAGTTTACTCCTATGTGTCAAATAATGTGAATATTAGTTACAGTGTGGTAAAGCTAAAGGCAATTCGTATCAATTTATCCTTGACACCCAGAGGTGAAGAAAATTGAGTTGTTGTTAGAATGTGAAATGGACAATGATTTTCAAGATAACTATGGTCTTTTATAATAAATGAATTCAGTATCAGTCTCCAGCTTAAATCTTATCAAATCTCATTTCTTACAGCCTTTTCTCATTTTATTCCTTCTGTTCATACTTACTTTACCCACACTATTATTTTATTTTACTATTTTATACTTAAGGTTACAGAAAGAAGTTGCCTTTGATTGTACCTTAAAAATGGGCTGACTTAAATTAAAAGTAGACCTTGATTGTCCTGTAAATATTATTGAGAAGTGTCTTTGTATGTTACACTTCATACCTGTCAGCAGATCAAATACTATTCAAAAAACCAAACAGAATGTAAAATCCCAAATAAATCAGAAAGAGCAACACAATTTGTTTACAGCATTTTCTAGAGGTCAACTGTTTTGGTAAACAGTAGTCATACAAAGCCATATGAATATCTTGGTAAGCTGTCAGCATTCAAATGAAATCTGTTTTTGTGCAGCCTAATGCTGGGTCATAGGTCTAGGAACAAAGATTACAGGTCATATCTCGAGAGTGGGAGACCATATCCTGGAAAGCCATGACTCTGAAAAAGTAGTAGGGGTTCATAGTAGACAAACATATTCAACGTGACCTTCCTGGTGGAATGCTCTAGTAAAAAGGGGTATTGTGCTGCTTGAATGTATGAACAAGGAATAGTGAAAAGGAGTGGGGTGATGATCTTGTGCTACTGCTGATACTGGAACTCTGCAGCACTGTTCTGGTATTTTACTTCTGAACATGAATGTTGCAAAATTGGGGAAGGTGCCAAAGAGAGACCACAAAAATGAGAGCTGAAAAAAATACCGCATAGCAAAAGACGTAAGATATATGAGCTGTTACTTTACTAAATGGTGGATAGTAGACTAATTTATGGAGTAGAGAGATGTCTTCAAGTTGACAAACATATCAGGTTGACTTTTATTAGTACATGTTTAGGATTGTGAATCCAAAAAAGATGACAACGCTGGCAGGGAAATACAGTACTAAAGGACTGCATTAACCTATGGTGCAAAAAAGAATAATAAGAACAAAGGTCTGGAAGGGAGGGCTAAATGAATTCAAATGAGAAATATTGCTCAGTTTTTAACAATGAAGATTAAATGGTTGAACATATTGCTAGAGTAGATTCTCCTTCTCCTGAAGTCTTCAAGTAGTGATGCCTTTGCTGAGAACATGCGATAGTGAAACAAGTTACTGATTGGCCTCAATGCAGGGTTATCTGCATTCTAGTCTTCTGATCTTAAACTCTATGAATGACAATGTGCAGTGAGCTCCGAATTCTTAAGCAGAAAGTCTGTAGTGTCACTGTCTATATTAGGCTGTTACAGTGTGAAAAACAGTACTTGCATGCGGCACCATTTACATTTTCCCACTCAGACAGATTTCAGATTGGTTGCTGCAAGCTATTGTTGTAAAAATTAAGAGCGGTATTGAATAATTATTATGATTTTTGTTCCATCATTACTATCAACCTTTTTATGTACTGTAGAGTGAATAACATCATGAATGCAGCAAGTTGGTACAGTATAGGCCATACCCATTTTTTATCACAGCAGACTGCATTCACCTAAATAAATTGGCAGCATATTTTCAGCAGTTCCAATTAATTTAAATAGGCTGCAGTCATACTTTATTGGTGCTGAAATAATGCTAAGAAATGCTTCAAGCCTTCTGCTTTATCCCAGTCTAGCAGAGCTATGTACATACTGCTATTATATTATTAGTGGCAATCATCGTTACCAAATTCACACAGTAGTACATGCTGTGTGCTGTTACACAGATGCTGTTGAAATAATGCAATTTTAACAGCTTGCTTGCTTTTAAAATGCATGTGAAAAATTTATCTTCCTTTTTTATGTAATGCACCATTAAAACACTGAATGAAATTAAAGAATGCATAGGTAGTTATTTTGCAGCATCTGAAGCAAGAAGAAGAAAACAGTTTGTATTTATGGTGTGTTTTTCCAATTTTAATCATGATTTTTTTCACTTTATCCTAATTTTCAAATATTTTTACAGTGATTAATTTTAAGAAAGCAGGTAATACTTACATGTGTGTCCTAATAATCTAAAGACAAAGGAATGTCATTTTTACTTAATGGGAATTATGCAGTATTTGGAAAACATTGTCCATTGTAGTGTGAAAACAGGAAGTAATGTAAAAATTACTGCAGTACTTATTAATTAGAAAGTTATTAAAACATGATATGGGAGAAATGCACAGAGTAAATTAGTGTCTGAGAGTGCATGAAATTGGCAATGAGTTTAGCAGCAAAAATATGCACCCTACCATGTTAACAGCGCTGATGAGTTTCCTTTGTTATAATCTCATACCTGTATTTTATAATGTCTTGCATTGAGATGGAAGTAGTTCTGTGTCATTCAAATGTCCTATGTAACTAAAAGTTAGAAAGAATCAAAATATCCTCACATCTAAATTGAGCCTGAGTGTTCCTGAATGTAATACAATATGATACATTTTACACACTTGCAAAAACATTTTATTACAAATTACATTGTATGGTACGATATAACACAATACGTAATTTTAAGCAAGACTATGCATGTTAGCTTTTTCATTTTTAAAAAAATGTAAAAAATTAAAAATTTGCAACTTGTTTAAGAAAATAGTCTGAACATGTATAGAACACTGTGATAATGTTCACATTTACTTCTTAAATATTTCAGCCATGAATTCTTCTTTTTCCTTCTGAATGCTTGTATAACACTAGTTTGTGTATGGCACAGTAACCAAGCATAAAAACATTTCAAAGAGGTTTTTTTTTTTTTTTTGTATCAGTCCCTGCCTGCAAGAGATTTAGAATGGATTTGTGGGAAATTTTGCAAATTAGTGGACACTATTTTGTACATAATCCTAGTTGTGAGATGTTTGAGTTCTTTCTTTCTTTCTTTCTTTCTTTCTTCTTAATACACTCAACATCTCTATTTCCTTTGTATGTGTGAGGCTGTAACTTGTAGTTTATCACTGTTGTAAAATATTGAATACTTTCTGTTTTTCCTATTTATGCCCATATTTGAGGATTTTTGTTCTCTTTAGGAAAAAAAAATATCTCTATATACACATTTAATGCTCTGAAATATCTGGAATTTTTAAAACATGTAAGGTGGGTTATCTTGTAAACAGTTTTATAACTTTAATTAAAAACGGTATAAAATACATGAAACATTTTTTCCACATGAAACAATTGCACTTCCTTCATGGCACAGGATCACCTTTCTCATCCTTTATCTTTCACAAAAATATTTTAGTATATTGTTTGTTTATGTACAAGGTTTTGTAGCCCTCTTGAAATTTACTACAAAGGTGAGTTGTTCATTAAAGCATACATTTTGAAATAGATTTTTTTAAGTGGACATAAACAGTTTCACATATATTGTATGTTCTTACATTAACTTTCTAATGTTTCTTTCAAGACAAAGATCAAATCATTTGCCTCAGGTTTCTTGTAGAACTAATAGTACTTAAAATGGATTTGATGTAGAGATAAGGGAAAATAGTATAAATATAGACTCCTCAAGGTTTATTAAGTAGGTGAAGACGCCTCTGGTAGGGATTCATTTCTTCTACCTTTTTGCTGCATCTAAAGACTGAAAAAAATATGTCTGAATGAAGCACTGGGATATGAAGTTGCAGAACCAATAGCTTGTAAACCAGTTTGTCACATGACTGCACTACTTAAATTATTTGACAAAAAAGAGCAATAAGATTTCGACTCCCTACCATTACAAGAATTTTCCCACAAACAGTCATTCTAAATTAGGGCATAGTAATTACAGGAGTAAATATTCAAAGAAAGACTGCAGTGTGTAACAGAGCAGATTTAAAGTGTTCTTGTTTTTAAAAAGTCTAAGAAAAATTTGATTCACAGCTTTTCCCTAAGTGTGTTGGTTAGCAAGTACGATTAATATATTATTTAAATATAAATGATACTATGTTGGTCTGGAAACCCACCTTAGAAGCTAAGCTAAATAAGTAGCTTTTAAAATTGCAAGGTCCTTCTCAACTCATTAGAAAGCATAATGCATACTACAAAATTTCTCACTCCCTCTATAATACTATACAGTTTTCAGAAGACTGAATTACAAAAAGATACTGAATTGTGGCAAATGCCAACAATTTGTAATGTAATATTATCCGTCTTGTTTTTTCTTTTTTCAAATTCTGTGCCAGAATGTATCATTTTGGCCTTTGGGTACCAAAAGATTAAAAATGAGATCTAAGAAAGCTTGGTGTCCCATAGCTTTGACCCTGTCAACTTGCAGTGATTAAAGGCATGTCCTGACTTTGGGTGGTTCTGGCTGCTCGCCCTTTGGAAATGAGCAGTAAACTTGTCATAAGTCTGGCAATGAACATGACATTAAATTAGAGGTGTCAATATGTGATGCTGAGATGTCATAACTTGATTTAAGTCTACAGTACATGAAGGCAAATATACATAGTCACATCTTAGAGATTATTTATGGTCTTGGACCATTTGAAAAATTGTGCTTTCTCCAGGACATTATGTGCTAAAAATTGCACTCCCCCAATCCCCATGTATATGTAAAATTGAAGATCATTGCAAATATAAGTCTTGCTGTTTTTTTTCATTGATATTTTAAAAGCAAAAACAAAACAGGCAAAGCAAAAAAAAAAAAAAAAAAAAAAACCA